TATCTATCTATCTATCTATCTATCTATCTATCTATCTATCTATCTATATATATATATATATATATATATATATAGATAGATAGATATATATTTACATATATACATATTTGTGTTTGTATGCGTAAATTAAAACCCATTCAAAATAAATACTCATAGCAGCACCAAAGAAATGATAAAAGAGCCTAATAAATAAAAAATGTATAAAATATTTCTAATAAAACTTTCAGCTGCGTGTAAAGATTTCAGGAGGTTTTATTCTTCCCATTTTGTCTTAATGTCACAGTTTCTTTGATCAACTCCTTTATCCTCTCTTTAGTGACTCAGTGAGATTCATATATTTTATTTTTACAGTTAATGAGAGGGTTACGGGGAGTTTTGTGTCCTTGGAGTAGAAATGTGTGTTATATGTTGTGGATTTGTCATGAAACATCATCACTGTGGTTTTAACAATAAAATATAGAATTGCTTTTCCATCACTGTCATGGCTGTTGATTTTCTCTAGAATAAATCTGTCATTTAAAACATTACAACTTACATCAGAACTTTAAGGACTTTATATTACTGCATGTATTTGTCTGATTTTTAACTTTTATGATCTATAAAACAGGAAAACACAGAAGCAACGACAAACTCTGTGGGTGTGATTTTGTTCAGGATTCAATAACAAGCTGTGGCTTTCATTACTCCTCGTCAGCGCGGAGGATGAAGCATGTTCGAGCTCATAACTTCATTTTCACAGATGTCACTTCTGTGATGCAGACGCTTCACCGGTGGCTTTGATCCGCTCATCATCTGACAGCTTCTGGATCTGATCTTGCTCATTTAAAGCCTGCTGATTCTTAAATGTCATGTTGCATTTAACACAGAAAAAAATCCCAAAATGTAAGAAGAATAATACATATTACAGGCATAAATGTATTTAGCATTAGAATTTCTCTCAGCTCCAACACTCAAAAGGTAATTGTTGCATGTTATAGATGCTTCAGACCAAAAGGTGCGTCATGAGCAAGGTCTAAAGAGCGTTACATTTATTTTAACCATTTGTATAAGTTTCAAGAATGAAGACATATTGCCACATTTCTGCCATTAGTCAGCATTTTTCAAGGGAAATTTTAAGATAATTCTCAGCCAAAGCAGTTCATCTAAACTAGTGGCTCCCAACCCTGGTCCTTGAGGAACGCCATCCTGCAAGTTTTAGTTGTCTCCCTGCTTTAACACACCTGATTCAGAGATTTTATTACTTTCTGAAGTTCTGCCAAATCCTGTTAAGCACCTATTCATTCAAATCAGGTGTGGCAGAGAAACAACTAAAACATGCAAAGTGGTGTTCCTCAAGGACCAGTGTTGGGACCCACTGATCTAAAGGCAGGGAAACAACTAAAACATGCAGGGTGGTGTTCCTCAAGGACCAGTGTTGGAACCCACTGATCTAAAGGCAGGGAAACAGCTAAAACATGCAAGGTGGTGTTCCTCAAGGACCAGTGTTGGGACCCACTGATCTAAAGGCAGGGAAACAGCTAAAACAGGCAGGGTGGTGTTCCTCAAGTGCTGGGACCCACTGATCTAAAGGCAGGGAAACAACTAAAGCATGCAGGGTGGTGTTCCTCAAGGACCAGTGTTGGGACCCACTGATCTAAATACCAATTTTTAATGTGTTGTTGTTTGTAGAGTTCACTAATCTTATTTAAATATATATATATATATATATATATATATA